GCCAGCTGTGGATCCACCTAATGGTTGCACTGTCTAGCTGCTTTTTGCTAGTCTGCTGATCAGGACGTGGTGGGACACTCTGCTGAAGGCTTTTCTAAAGACTAGATCGAGTACGTCCACAGTATTCCCACAGTCCATGTGGGAGGTTACCCAATCAAAAAAATGAAATCACATTGGTTGGGCAGGATTTGTGCCATCCATGGCGGCTTCTAATTGCTGCATTGCCTTCAAGATGTTTCCAGACTGATTGTTTTATAATTTGCTTTAGAATTTTTCCAGGGATTGATGTCAGACTAACCGGTCGATAGTTCCCAGATTCATTTTTTCCTTTCTTGTCGGTAGGGGCAACACTAGCCCTTCTCCAGTCATCTGAGAATTCATCTGTCTTCCTTGAATTCTCAAAGATGATAGAGAGCGCCTCGGAGAGTTCTGCTAGCTCTTGTATGACTCTGGGATGAAGTTCGTCAGGCCCTGGGGATCTGAACTCATTTAGGCCACTCAGAAGATCCTTGACATTTGTCTGTCAATTCTGGGCTGCCCTCCTGCCCCTTCAGCTTACGCTACACCTTCGCCTGGAGGGGTGTCGTGCTTCTTTTGGGAGAAAACAGGAGCTGAGCCTTGCCATCTGCTATGCTTTGGACTCTGACCTAGGAGGCAGTGCTGGACCAGTGCTGTGCTTCCTGTTGGAAGCACAGGGGAGGGAGGATGCAACTGCAGCCTGAAAGAAGGGGGAGCACACACCTGGCATGCAGAGGGCTCAAGTTCAGGCTCTGCTGGCACTCTGCCCAATGCTAATGGCCCCCACCGCTGGGCCTTCCAAGGGTCTGACGCCCACGTTCCCAACTCCACCAAGGTTCATCCCCTGTGTTGCTGCTGCCCTTTATTATAATGCTTGACTGTACTGTCTGCACTTTGATCTTATTGTATGTCACCTGGAAGAGCAGGTTACTAGTTAAGGAACTGTAAATAATCTGTCCATCCATCACCATGTTTGAAGGAGCAGTCCTGCCTTTTAGCCTGGACCTAATTCAATTCATTCTCAAATTTGATCTCAGGGGGAAGGAGAGCAGCTGGTTCCAGGAATGGTAGCTCTGTAGAAAGTGGCCTCGATAATTGGACAGAAGGCACAGAGTCTGTTCCATGGCTTGCAGGAGGAAGCCTTGCATGTGAGGACCTGCCTCTGCTGACTCAGAGAAAGTGCACTGGGGCAGCAGGACTGAATGTGAAACATGCTTGAAATGACTGGCATGCCACCTTTTCCTACGTAAGTTGTCTGTGAAAAGCGGTCTATAAGCTCTGGCCTAAGGATCTTAGAGTCTTACTCATATTTGCTTTAAAGTATGCAATTACTCGGCAGTGGAAAGAATTTAATGTACATTTGTGGCATTTGGGACAATCCTGCATTGTTCGGAAAAGTGACTCACTAGATCCACCTCCCCAGAAGCTCAGCAAGTCTGACACCTTTTATGCAAAATCACACACATTTGTTTCTTTTGCAAATGGTGACTTCCTTTCCTTCTATGCAACACAAATCTGGACAATAAATATTATATAGGTATTTCATCAAAGCACATTGCAATTTCATATTCTTATACGCATTTTGGATCCGTATGATGGAGTGATCTCCCATTGCTTTGTTCCAACTCTGCCAACCCAGCAGCTTGAAAGCATGCAAACACGAGTAGATAAATAGATGCCACTTTGTTGGGAAGGTCACAGCATTCTGTGCGCTTCAGTGCCAGCCACATGACCACAGAAACTGTCTGCGGACAAACACTGGCTCCCTTGGCTAAGAAACAGAGATGAGCACCGGCCCCTAGAGTCGGACACGACTGGGCTTCATGTCAGGGGGAAACATCTACCTTTACCTATACTTATACTGTAAAAGGAGAGCGCAAAAGTTGGCTTGAAACTCAACATTAAGAAAACTAAGATCATGGCATCTGGTCCTATCACTTCCTGACAAATAGATGGGGAAGAAATGGAGGTAGTGACAGATTTTATTTTCCTGGGCTCCAAGATCACCACAGATGGGGATTGTAGCCAAGAAATTAAAAGATGCTCGCTCCTGGGGAGGAAAGCTATGGCAAATCTAGACAGCATACTAAAAAGCAGAGACATCACCCTGCCAACAAAAGTGCGTATAGTCAAGGCTATGGTTTTCCCAGTTGCAATGTATGGCTGTGAAGTTGGACCATAAGGAAGGCTGAGCGCCAAAGAATTGAGGCCTTTGAATTGTGGTGCTGGAGAAGATTCCTGCGAGTCCCTTGGACTGCAAGGCGATCACACTGGTCAGTCCTAGAGGAGATCAACCCTGACTGCTCTTTAGAAGGCCAGATCCTGAAGATGAAACTCAAAATACTTTGGCCACCTCATGAGAAGGACGGACTCACTGGAGAAGAGCCTAATGCTCGGAACAATTGAGAGCAAAAGAAGAAGGGGACGGCAGAAGATGAGGTGGCTAAATGGAGTCACTGAAGCAGTCGGCGTGAGCTTAAGTGGACTCCGGGGGACGGTGGAGGACAGGAAGGCCTGGAGGAATGTTGTCCACGGGGTCACGATGGGTCGGACACAACTTTGCGACTAACAACAACAAATACTTATTTACAGGTATTCTCCACCATTATGATCTATCTGTTATTATTTGTTTTCTTCATGTGGTAACATTGTTAAAATGAAATATGCATTGTAAGAGCATAATTAAAATGATGACTCATAAAACTGGAAGTCGTATGGGAGGTCGACGAATCCAGCTCCAGCTCAGTGTAGGATCTGCAGTCTAAAGCTGGGATCTAATCTTTTTGGGCCAAGAGGCACACCAAGCACTTTGGGATGGTGTCATGGGTGCTCTCACACCATGGCTGCCAAGACTGGGGTTCTCCTTCACAAAATGTCCAATATGACAGTTGTTAGGCAAAAGGCAAACTGCTGATGCCAAAAGAAAAGTAACTTATCCAAGAACCTGACCACAAGGAGAAGGGGAGCAGGAGATCCAAGGCAGTCCATGGTTTCCTGCTCCAGCACCCAGTTCAAGGGAGTAACTTGGTCAAGAAGCTGAGTACAAGGCAGAAGTTACATTTGCGCTCAAAATGCCAAACCATCTAATTGTCCTAGAAAGCACAACAGCATTTCTTTGAAAGCATCTGATGCTCAGAAAAACAAACACAAGAGCAGAATACCCCCAGAGCGCTACCAGCAACCCCCACACCAAGACACACCACCCTTTGCTCTGGCAAAACACCCTTTCCCAGTCAAAACATGTACAAGACCAAGATACAAAGAGACAAAACCAACCCACGAAGTACGGGTCAATGCTTCCTCTCTCACCTCCCTACTGGTCCCCCTCTCTACTTTCCTCTTTTCCCACAGCTGGGTCCCTGCAGAACAATGTGCGGGGTGCAGCCACCTCCTTATTTTCTGATCTAAAGCTTCTCCAGGTGGAATAAATTCTTGAAAATAAAGACTGGCTTGCACCCAGCACTTTGCTTTGCAGCATGCTCCCCTTTTTTGCATAGCAAAATGAAAACCAAGAGCCTGACAAAGTTAGGCAGGGCAGAGAGACTGGTGGGTCTCCCCAGACCTAGAGCATCCATGGAGATGGCTCCCAATCTCTTCACTGATCAAGGCAGCATGCTGCACTGCCCAACAGCTCATGCAGTCAGACAGATTATCCTAACAGCTCTGCCTCCCTGCCACTTCCACCCCTGGGGGGCGAGCAAGGAGGGGCCTGCGCCGCAGACCGACCACATCCAGCCTCGCTCTTCTCAGGACGGGGCCTGCTTCGTCCACGTCCTCCTGGCAAGGGGGCACGCAGCTCTGGCTGCAGGGGGGCACGCACAGGCCAAGGTGGGGTGGAGTGGAGTGGAGTGGAGTGAAGCAGAGCCGAGCCTTCCCGTGATCCGGGCGCTCTGTTTCTGGTCATGCCCACCAGGATTGCCTCTACTTTCTTGGCTGCTGCATCAGACTCCCAGCTCATCTTCAGCTGGTGATCCACGAAGGCACCTGGATCCTTTAAAATGTGCAAGTCCGTGGGAAGCCTATTGTTTTCTCCCTAACACAAACTCAAGGTAACAAGAGAAAGCTAAGCCTGTGCTCTGAAATTTAACTTGGACCATGTGAGCCTGGATACAAAGACTCATGCAGGCACGGAGCACTACCCACTGCATGCTTTTGGGCTGGTCGCTTATGCAGTCTAGCCTACCTTGCAGGACTGCAAATGGAGAGAACAGGTTCTGGTCACTTTGGAGGGCGTGTCCCAAACCACAGTGCACTCCGCAGCACACGGCCTGTGGGTGCGAGTCCGCTCACAGTCCTGGGCCAGGTGCCGTGGAGCGTGGGTGAGGCACATTCCTTTATCCTGGGCAGCATGCAAAGCGAATCGGTCTGTCGAAGCCTGTTAGCCCAGATGCCTGGAAGACACCTCCGCGCAAGCAGGCCGTTCGCCCCTGAAGCACGATGCCAGCCCAAAGAAGTGGGATGCCGGGCCCGGTGCAGGGAGGGGAGCCCGCCACGCCGCGCCTGCACCCGCCCTGGCGCTGCGGCGGGAGGCCGGCGCCGGGCAGCTGCGCCAAGCCGCCAGCCCGGGACCGTCTCCCCGGCGCACCCGCGGCGGCCTCGCGCAAGCAGCCGGGCTCCCGCCAGGGATGCTGGGAGCGCCGGTGCGACACGCTCGGCCGGGCGCCGCTCGCCCACCACGTGGCAGCGCCCTGCGCCCGCGCCGCGGCGGGCCTCGCCCCCTTCCCGGCGCGCCCCGCCGTTGGCCAGCGCGCCCGGCTGCTTGCGCGAGGCCGCCGCGGGT